CCAGGCAGTGGCTCAGGAACTTAGAGGCAGCAATGGCAGGGTTGGTGCTGGCACAAAGCTTCTGTGGCCTAGAGTATTTCAGGAAGATGGCACGAAGGGTGGAGTTGGCCCCCTGCAAAACTGCCTTGGCCATGTACGGGAAGACAGCAGACAGCTCAGCCTCCCTGTGAGGAGAGAGGAGCGGTTGGGGGCCAGTCAAAATTGAGGGGTCCCCCCAGCTGCTGGCCTCCAGCTTCCTCAGCCAGGCACAAAAAGGATGCAGTTCCCCCCATATTGCAAGCCAAATGTTATCAGTGGTGCTATGGTGCGGGCCCAAGGGCCTGGGCCTGTGGGCACTGCCCGCTCAAGCGCTTCCCAACTGAGGCACCATTTGAGCCAGAGGAAAGGTAGGAAGCCCCAGGTCATGCTCAGCCACCATAGCCCTGCAGCTGCTCCTTCTGGGACCACGTGGCGAGGGGGCTTTGGTAGCCAAGGCCACACAAAGAGTTGCAGTGGAGGCAGAGAGTGCAGCTGATCTGGCCTTCCAGCTGACTGACATCCCACCCAGGACAGCCTCTGACTAAGCAGCAAGCAGAGTGGGGCATTGGCAGCCTTCGCAGACACCTCCAAAATTAAGCTCTGGAAGCAGTTGTGGGCTTAGTTTGCCTTCACCATGAATCCCATTCTTGAAAAAAATTACAACGGTGTCTCCAAGAGTGTGAAAGCGGGCAGGTGGGGTTCAAGTGGCTGAGAAAAATGTGGTAGAGAAGTAGAGGTACAGCAGTTGGGAAATGCTGCTCTCTGGAGAACATGTTTTGCTCACCCAAAACATACCATAATGATTACTTTCTTGGCGATCTAACAGAGACTAATAGAGAAAGTTTCCTTTCCAAACAATTGGAGGTCCCCATCTTCTCTTCCCTTTACTTGTGCAGGAGTCCTGACCCCCCCTGTGTAGGAGTCTTCGTCAGACAGATACAGTAGATGAAGCTTTCTCCCAAAGAAAAGAGTGGTGGCCGGGTCGGGTAACTGCCGCAGCAGAAATCAGTTGTTGTTGGGAGATGGCAAGTCGCCCCCTGCGAGTAGGAGGAGACCCTGCTCCGTGCCAAATCACTGCGGTAATAAGACTACCAGTGTGATGCCTGCCTGCCCGCCCGCCCAACAGAAACAGGTTTCATGTAATCAGTTAGAAATGTGGCAGGTACTCCTGCATTTCTCTTGTTAATTCACTGGTCACCTCAGGATGATACCAACCCCAGACCCGCCTCCCCCACTTACCGAGCCCACCCATAGCCTGTTGCTCTTACAATGCCCCGATCCCTGCAGTTGGGGGGAAAGCCATGACCCGGTCTTGCGGGGCTGCCACTGATCTCCAGATTCCTAAATCTAGAGTCCTAAATGGCCTGAAGCTGCACAGATGGTAACCAGGAAATGCAGGGAATCACAAGGGGCATGAACCTTCTTGTGCCATCCACGAATTAAAGTAACAGCCACGTGTGGATTTTCCATGCCTCCTGGCCTATGGGGGAAAATACAGCCTCACATCAGAGGCTTTGCTTTACAAAGCTAGGAATTAAGGGAGAGACAAATTATTTGCACCCCAAATTATTTGCACCACCACTATTTCTCAGTGCATCACATCTGTCCCTTGTGGCACATGCCCACACTTGCTCCTACCTGTACACGTGGAACTTTGGAAAACATTCCTGAAGAACATCCATGTCTTTGATTTTGGCTTCACACAACAGCAGCTGTGCCAGAGACAAAGCAGCAAAGCACAGCTGGGCAGGCTCAAAACGCAGGCAGTCCACCTCCATCAAAGACACTTCCATGAAATAGAGGGCCAAGAACTGGACCTGAAAAAGCAGTGGAAAGGTGGTGAAAAACAATACCTGCTGCCTCCCCAGGAGTAAATCACCGGGACGGGGCCCTCCAGGGCCTGCAGGGGTCCTGCCTCTTTCTCCTGGCCTCCCGCGGTGCCAGGGCACCCTTGACCCTGGTACCACCGGGGAACAGCAACCGGTGACCCTGCGGGTGGTCCAGGGCCCAGCTGGCCTGCTTGGGACTTTCACCTCCAAGGTGCAATGGGCCGCTTCTGCCAGGAGGTGGAACAGGTGGATGGGGTTGGCGTAGTGCAGCTCAAACCTGAGCCGGGCCAGGACTTTGCGTTCCATCCGCAGAAGATCCTTTCGGCTGCACGAGTCCTCCATCAGGAAGCACAACTGGGCTGGCTGCAGGAGACAAGGGAGCGTGCTTGTGCCTTGCTGCCAGACCGCACGATGCGTGGCCACTCCCGGAGAGGCACAGATCCCCCCCCTTCCTGCCCAAGAGGCCAAGAACCCAAGAAGGGCTGCTGGACCAAACCAGAGTCAGTCGCTTCAGCTGCCCCGGGTCTCTGGAAGGCCAGTGGACATTTCCCAAATCAGGCTTCGCTCTCCCACCTCTGGACAAGTATGTTCTTCCAGTTTGCAGGCCAGAAAGAGGCAGGTGACGCTGAGGAGCTGCAGGTGAGGGATCCTGACCCGGCCAGCCTTCATATAGGCGTTCATGAGGTAGACTGCCAGGTAGAGGGTCTCGTCTGCTAGACTCAGATACTCCTGGGAGGGAAAGGAGGCAAGGGGGCAGGATCACCAGCAGCAAAACAGAGGCGTGTAAGGGTGACACCCCGTGGTTCTGGATCCAACGTATCAGGCCAGGAAGGAGCAACGTGGGGCAAGTTCTGTTGAAGTGGCTTTGGATCGTGTGCAGGAAGGTAAGGTTTGGCCAGAGCAGTTACTGATCTGCCTCTGTTTGCTGGACAGCCAGTGCCAACCTCTGTCTCTTCTATGGAGCCCCCAGATAGTGAGGCTTCAATGCCAGGAGACCCTTGAGACCACCTGTGTCCTTCCAGACCCCCAGAACGGCTGCCAGGGACCCCCGTCCCACTGCCCTTCCCCTCTCATTCAAAGCCAGGCACTTACGTGCACTTGCACCAGCCAGTCAACAAGAAGGGCTCGCATCTCCACCGTTACAGACCGTGGCAGGTCAAAGCCCTGGAATGCATACGATGGCTGTTTCTGCTGTGAAAAAACAGGAGCTGCCGAGTGGTCCCTGCAACGTCCTTTCCCAGTGCCCCTCTGCAGGGGCCCAGGGGTTGGGCAAGACCGTCACCTGGCACAGAGTGCCAGTCGGGCAGGCTGGGGGGAGCAGGTGGACTAGGGAACATTCCCTGGAACGGAACTGACGGGGAGGAAGCAACATCTCCCTTCTCTCTGCACTGTGCTGCGCTGCGCTGTGCTGTGCTGCTCCCTTGGCAGCCCTGGGCTCTCTGGCCAGGTTGCATACCAAGCACTCAGGGCAGCTTAACAGGTTCTAGCTATCTGGCAGCCACCAAATGAGGGAGATTTAGACCTCCTGGGCCAGGCAGACCCAGAGGGACCCTGGAAGCTGGATCAAGCCGAGATGGCCCCGTCTCTGACTTACAGTTACCAAGACCGGCTGGTAACAGTCTCCCTCCATTCCAGAGGACCGCCCCGCACCGGGGATGCTTTAATCGGGGTTCCTGTGGTGGAGGAGGCAAGTTGGCTCTCTTGGAACTTGCCCTGCTCCCTAGCAGACGACTCTGGGTGCCCAGCACGACTGGCACCCAGGCAGAGACTGGCTCCCGCTCACCATCAAGCTGCTGAAGATGTCAAAGGCGTACTCCCTTTCCAGGGCCATGTCCATGCGCAGCATCGCTTGGGACAGCTCCTCTGCCAGGGAGAGCGACGCTGGAACAACTGGGGACAGAGGAGAGGAGACGGATTAGCCCGAGGGATCAGCAGGGGCACTCCGCTTCGTCCCCTGGTTGATGCGATTCCAGACCTGCCACGGAGCCTGATGCACATGTCAGATTATTCCCCCCGCCCCGCAAGGATGAATCTCTCAGGGCTCCCCATCGCTGCCCTCCCAAGCCCTTTGGGGTCATCAGCACCTCACCTCGCTCCCTCGGCAAAGGAGTTTCAGCCAGGACCTGGGGGCAGACCACCCCCTGCTTCTCAGCCTCTTTTTCATAGCATTCCAGGCCTTTTTTCTGGAAGAGGAGAGGAACTGGCAGGCAGAGCACTGCCAGGAGCAGGAGGGAAAGCCGACACCCCCCCCTCCAAGGTCTCAGGGATGGGGTGGGGAGAGCTACCCGGAAAGCCCAGGCAGCCCCTCCCTCTTTGCCCACAGACCTGCTGCTCAAAGGCTCAGGCACCCTCTCCCCGACCGTCCCCTTGGCCCATGGGCCTAGTGCTGCCCAAGGGCAGGACTCTGCCTCCAGCCCAACCCTGACCCGCTTGGTCCCCTGAGCCCCCCTTGCCAAGCCGCTGTGCCTCCTGAGGAAGGAAAGGGAAGCGGTACACCCGATCTATTGGATTCATTCGGGGCCCTGCCTCACAGAGGCCCCTCGAGCTATTCCTCCCACGGGTGGAACTCTTTGTTGCTCGTATTTCACCCAACGCCCCTGACAACCTGGCAGCTTAAAGTTTCCAAGGAGAGAAGGCAGGATTTGGGGATTTTATTCCTATAATGCCTCCGCAGCTCAGGTGCAAAGTAGCCGAAATATGCCTTTTACCACGTGCAGAACAGAGCATTTGCCTCTGGGAGCAGTGACAAGTGGTCCCACGCAGGAGAGGGGCATGTAAAGACATGGCTTGCCATGTTCTCTCCCTTGACCAGCTGGGTTCCTGCCAGTGGCCCTCCTGCAGCCCCACCCCGGGTTGCTTACCCCACCCAGGTCTGCTGTTAGTGTGATGCTATAGGACTGATTCGTGCTAACACCAAAGTAATTTCCAGATCTGAAGGCGTGGCCTCAGGCTGCGGGGGCCCCGCCCCTTTCCTCCCGCCACAAGCCACAGGCGCCAAGCCCACAGCTGTCCACAACAGGGCCAGAACCCACCTTCCCAGATCCTTTTTCGCTGCTCCACCCTTCATTGTTCTTGCTTTTCAAAGGCTCCCTTTTCTCATCCACCTGAAACTGAGCAGCGTTAGTGGAAGGGGGGGTATTAAAGGAACACACAACCCCTGTCAAGCTCCCTTCCTTTGGATGCACCTCTGCTCCACCTCACCAGCCCCGTTTCACTAGGAAAACCCATCAAATGGCACAGAGAGTGCAGGCATTCGAAGAGCATCTCCTAGGTAGGCTCCGGAGGTGGCTGGGGGAAAGGACTGCGCTCCCAAGCGACTGGGGATGGGCTCTGGGTCCCTCCTCCTCCTCCCCTTTGAGCAACCCAAACAGTTTAGCTGGAGAGGACTCTGCAGCTCAGGCAAAAGTTTCCAAAGAGGCGCTCAGGCCCGTTTGAAGAGGTAAGCGATGGTCCAGGCCACAAACACTCCTGCAGAACGAGTACCTTACACCTTTGGGGAAAAATAACAGCCACGGGCCCTCCCTTAGGAAGAGGACGAGAACAGAATTTCTTCAACGGCCCCCTCCGCGGCCCGTTCCCCAACACCCCAGGGCCACTTGGGGTGCCTACGTTGCCTATAACCTGCTCCGCAGGCAGGACTCCTACCGAGAGAACGCCTCTCCGCAGCAGCGCCCAGGGCCCCTTTTCATGGTGTGCCATGGCCTCCACCCAGGACCAAGTTGGAAGGGAGCCTGGCTCTGCTCGGCTGGAGCGCCAGAGAAGTCCCATCCAATGCCCAGGCTGCCTAATCAGGGCTCATTAGCCAAATGAGAGGGGATGGGCCGCTTCCTGAGGGGAGGGACCCTTTTGATGGTTCTGAAGCATCGCAAGATCTAACGAAAGCAATTGGGGAAATCAAGGGGGAAACCAACACCTAGAGGCCACTTCCATGGGATGCCAATTCCCGAAGAGGGGGGGATGATGGGAGCGGCTGCCTGCTGCGCCAAGGCCTCTGGCTGGCGAGGGGATGGTGGATCCGGGTAGTCCTGTGGGGGGTTGTTTCGGTGCCACTCCATTGGCGGCTGGGGGGCTGCTGAGCAGCCCTAAAGCGAGCGAGCGACCCACAATTTAAGGGCGGTGGGGCTTAAATCCCAAGAGATCCGGAGGAGGCTGACGGAGAGAGCAGGCTTTCCTGAAATGCCCTGGATCCTTGCGAGTGGGGCAGCCGGCCTTCCTCAAAGCAGCACCGCCACCTGGGACTGGGTGTGCAGACAGATGTAAGCCACAACTGAGAAGAGCTTGGATGAGGTTTTAAAATTGTAAGGTGTTTTAATTAAAAAAAAAAAAAAGCCTTTCCAGTTTTTGTGCTTATCAGCCACATTTACAAAAACACTCTGGCAA